TGGGCTCCTTTGCCATGCTAGCGACATGCTACCCGTTCTCCTGTGTCTGGCCTGACTGCCTGGGGCTGGCCTGGCCGGGCTACATGTGTCCCTTGTGGTTCTGCTTCCTGGCTTCCTTCCAGCCCAGGGCCACCCCTGCTTAGCCCTGCCTTCCATCCACTTGGGCCCTTTTGAACTTTTGGGCCCTGGCCCCCAAGGCCCGAAGTCAGCCCAACTCACCCTGAATCCCAGCTCCTGAATGCTTCAGCGAGGACACCCTGCCACACTGGGCCCTCAGGCCCCGGGTCACCTGGCAGCCCCAGACTTCCCACCTCTCAGAGCAGAATGAGGGTGGGTAGGTCCTGCTCTGGTCAGGGCTGCGGAAGGGCCAGGAGCTGGGAGACATGAATCCAGCTGCCCATTTGAAATTCTCTTGCTTGTCTGTCTGCCCCATCTATGTCTGAGCATCTGCCTGGCCACCTGGCTCCTCCCGCCTGTCTGCCTGTCCCCTCTGTCTACGTGCCTGCCTGTCTGTTTGCTTGGGTGTCCCCATGTACTAGACCTGGGCTTTCCCATTGAATACATCCAGCATCCCCATTTCACAGATGTGGTACCTGAGGCCCAGCTTGTCACAAGGCGCTGGGATCCATTGCTTACCCGGTGCAGTCCTGGGTCCCCAGCCTACAGACCCCACCGCTCTGATGGCCATTCTCTTCTCTTTCTCCGCACCTCACTGTGCTCCTGCCACCCCTCACCCCATTGCCTTGCCCCCACCTGGAACCCTGTCCCTTCTCTGGGCCACTCCCCTTAGTCATGCCCCCAACCTGCAGAAGCTGCCCCGCCCAGCTACTCCAACCGGGCGTGACTCCCCCCACCTCACACTCCCACAGCTCAGTGAGTCTGAAACACACAATTTAGCACTTAATTATACACTCTGCTCACTAATTATTTTGTGCCTTATCTCCTCAACTCGCATGAGCTCCTCCAGGCAGAGCCAGCTCTTGCTCTGGCTCTGGGCTTGGCACAGCCCTCCTTGCAGGCTGCCTGGGAAAAGGGCAGCCATGCCCTTAGCCTGGAACTGGGCTGTCAGCACCTAGTGGCCACATGCGTGGAAAGAAGGCAGTCCCTCCATTCGTGTTACACATATTTGTCCAGTTTTGGGGGCTCAGGGATAACGCAAGATTCAACAATGCCCCATTCCCCTGCCCTCCTGAGTGCATGACTCCCTGCTCCAGACATGGGCTTCAGCAAATGAGCTCACCCTTACCAGTACTAGGATGGAAACATCTAGAGCCTGGAACAGGGCCTGCCCAAATCCATACTTCCATCTTGACTGCTCATTTCCTCAAAGCCCACAGCCAAGCCAGCAGCTGGGCCTTCAGATATTGCCTGCAAAATCCACCTTTGTGTTTTTTGAGACAAGGTCTCACTCTGTCACACAGGCTGGAGTGCAGTGGTGTGAGCATGACTCTGCAGCCTCCAATTCCTGGGCTTAAGTGATCCTCCCACTTCAGTTCCCCAAGTAGCTGGGACCACAGGTGCACATCACTATGCTGCCTAATTGTTTTAAAATGTTTTGTAGAGACAGGATCTCCCTATGTTGCCCAGACTGGTCTCAAACTCTTGGGCTCAAGCAGTCCTCCTGCCTTGGCCTCCCAAGGTGCTGGGATCACAGGCATGAGCCACTGCATCTGGTCAATATGACTGCTTTGAATTACGCATGCCACCAACCACCCTACCGTGTCGTCACCCGGACCACAGTAGCAGCCTCCTCATAGCCTCTCTGCCTTCCCCAGGCCGCCAGCCATCAAGTCTCTACTCAGGGAACAGAGGAAACTTCATCCCCACCCAAACCCTGTCCACACAGAACAAGCGCAAGTCTGTGCCTCCCTACAGGGCCCCCTATGCACAGCAGCCCACACTGTACTCCGACCCCTCACCCTGCCAGTGGCTCCAGCCTCCCTGCTGTCCTGGAACACACCAAGCTCCCAGCTACCCTGGGGGTTCTTGCTAGGAGAGAGAAGGAGAGAGGAGATAGATAGAGATAGAGATAGAGATAGAGATAGAGATAGAGATAGAGATAGAGATAGAGATAGAGATAGAGATAGATAGAGAGAGAGACCGGAGAGGGGGAGAAGAGGGAAGAGTGGAGGGGAGAGCGGAGGGGTGGGGAGGAGAGGGAAGAGAGAGACTTATCTTACTGAATTGGCTCACAGGACTGTGGAGGCGAAGAAACCCCAAGCCTGTCAAACAGGCCCTAGGGAAGAGTCGCCCTCGTAGCTCAAGTCCGAAGGCTGTCTGCTGAAAGAATTCTTTCTTTGGCAGAGATCAGTCTTGGTTCTACTGAGGCCTTTGATCAGATGAGGCCACCTACATGATGGAGGGTAATCTGCTTTATTCAAGGTCCATTGACTTAAATATTTTTCCATCTAAAAATATATTTGTGGAAATGTCTTGACTGGCGTTTAACCGGAATCTGGGCAGCGTGGCCTGGCCAAATTGCTGCACAAAATGAGGCATCACAGAAGCCTTCCTAATTAGAACAGCATCTGTGGGGGCTGCTCAGACCATCTCCCTACCCCTAGGGATAAGGAGCCAGCACACACAGCTGCAGAGAGCTGCCACACCTGAGGTCATGCCCCTCCCTGTGAGTAGTCACAGGGAGTAGTCACAGGGAGGAGCTGTGAGTGGTGCAGCTCCCCGCCCACCTGCGGCCCTCTGGAGGGCCATCAATCTTCAGAATCTCTACAGCATTGCTGGGGCTTATGTTGCAGCTGATCACAGCTCCCTGCTAGCCCTGCCTCCTCCTGCCCTTTCTGTCCATAGTATCAACCCAAGAGCCTCAGCTAAGTAACATCCTGAATGTTTGCCTCCATCTCAGGGTCCCTTCTCAGCCCTAGCCTGCGTGGGGCCACCTTCATAGCCGACTTCTTTCTTCATTGTGTTCTGTACCTGACATTTCTTCTCTCATCTGGCTGGCTGTGTGTTGTGCGTCTCCTGCCCTGGGACATGGGCTCCATGGGGCAGTGCTGTGTCAGGGTACCCCTGCCATGTCCCTGGCACCTCTGTCACCTGCTACATGAAGGGATAAACATGCAGGCAGGTATCTTCTCTGAGGCTCTGGTCAACATGGAGGCTCTACTTCTAGGATGCCTAGGGAAGGAGGACTCCTGGACAGGACACCGGTCGCAGGACTCGGGTTGGCAGCAGGCCTGCATCTGCACACCTGATAAAATAACATAGAATTCTACATGCACATTGTGTCAATGCCAATGTCCTGGTTTCAGTATTGAGTAGCTACATAAGATGTCACCATTGGGGGAAACTGGATAAAAGCTACAGAGGACTTCTTTGTATTATCTTTGCAACTTCCTACAAAGCTATAGTTATTTCAAAATTTAAAAATTAAGCAAAGAAGGTTAGGATGCAAAATCATATTCTTTACATTGATTGCATCCATATGTATTCCGGTGGCTCACACCTGTAATCCCAGCACTTTGGGAGGTGGAGGCGGGCAGATCACGAGGTCAAGAGATCGGGACCATCCTTGCCATGATGAAACTTCATCTCTACTAAAAATACAAAAATTAGCCGGGTGTGGTGGCACGCGCCTGTAGTCCCAGCTACTTGGGAGGCTGAGGCGGAAGAATCGCTTGAATCCAGGAGGCGGAGGTTGCAGTGAGCTGAGATTGCACCATTGCACTCCAGCGTGGCAACAGAGCAAGACTCCGTCTCAAAAAAAAAAAGACTGTACTTTCTGGGATCATTTCTATAGTGTGTATTCCTAAGAATAATGATAAGAGAGTCCAAAAAATTGTATTTAGGATTTTTTTTAAGTTAATGGTGAAGGTAGTATTTTTGTTATTTATAATTTTGTTCACTTTCTAATAAATCACTATTAAGTTGGGGGAAGACTGGCTCTCTGTGATGTAAGTATATATGAGACTGTGAACACTCACTCATTCCTTCCATATTTATTGAGTGCAACAACAACAGAAAGTCTTGAATGTCTTCAGCAATTTTCCCAACTTGGGAGGCGAAGTAACATCCTACTTCCCTGAAAGCTGGCAGTAAAACGCTGAGTCCCAACTTTTGATGCTCCAGCCCTTCCAAAGGTTGTATAAGCCCCTGACTCCCTCCCCTAAACCTTTTTTCACCAGGAGCCTCGTAAGGTGGCACTTTGCCCCACTATCTAACGTGGTGTGTATGCTTGTGTGTGCACCTGCTCCTGCATGGGAGCCAACTGGAAAACGCAAAGGTGATGGTGTCACTCCTCTTGCATGGGGCCATGATGGCCCCTATTTGCCCTCCAGTTCTCTGGCCAGGAGCTCAGAGATGTCCCTCCCTGTCCAGTCTCACCTCCTGCCACTCCCCATACCTGCTCCCCAGCAGCTCCACCCCAAGACATCGATCACTGTGAATAGAAGACAGTTGCTGGGAGATTTCGCCGCAATCTGAATGACCGACTAACTTTCTATGTCCCCACAAGACTGTGAGCCTCTTGAGGAAGGAGTTTCAGTTGCATTTTTCTTGGTGCCACTAGAAGTCAGCATTGAGGCTGGCAATAAGTAGGGATCAGGGATTTTTTTTTTTTCTTAAATTCATGAGTGAATGCTGTCTACTGGGTCAAAATGTTTTTAGAGGAGCGAAATAAGGAGGCTTTGTCTGCAGGTTCCCATCTCCAGAGCAGAGGCTTCGCACGATGTGTACAAAGCCAGATTGGATCCCTACCCCCGTCTGGGTGTCAGCTAGAGCCTCAGCCCTCACCAGCAAATGCTATTAGCAAGGGCTCTAAACCCAGGTGCTGAGGGGACTTTGTTCCCCTCCATTCTCTCTAGAAATGTATCAGGACATCTTCACTGTGCCAGCTGTGAGGGACACAGCAGCAAACAATATAGGCTGTCCCTCTGTCACCATGGGCACAATATTCAGGCACACCCTTTGCCTCAGTGTTCCCAGGTGTTAACTGGAGACAGTAGCTCTTATATTGTGTGGTTGCTCCAAGGGTAAAATGAGTTCGAAGACATCCAAGGGCTTAGAACAGTGCTTGGCACATAGTAAGTGCTAAATGCATCTGCCTATTATTAGAACACGGAGCTTATTATTAGATCATGGGTGAGTCAGAGGATAGACAATCAGGGAGTAACTAGGACCATCTTAGAGCAAGTCAGGTGCCTCAGGCTAGCTAAAACAGAGGTAGGGACAGAGTGGGTAGAGAGGGAAGCCGCCGTGCAGTGGCCAGGACCAGCCTTGCAGCAGCAGTGGCGTATGGGTGACCACAGGAACCACGGTGTGACCTCCACAGTAACCTGGAGGAAGGGTGTCGCTGGGCAGGGGAGGGTGGTGCAAAGGCCCGGAGAAAGAGAGTCTGGCCCATCGGCTGGCGTGGCTGGAGTGTGGGGACAGAGAAGGGTTGTGCAGGGGAGACTGGAGTCCCTGGAGAGGCCAGGTTCCAGGGCATTGAGAACCATAGGAAGCACCTGGGCCTGTTCCCTTCCCAACCCTCAGGATGGGCCACCCTTCACCCACAGCTGCACATGAATGCCCTTTGGTGCTGGCCTCCAGGGCGGGGAAACCAGGTTTCTGCAGGGAGGGGCAGGTCTGAGTGTTCTGCCTGGTGCACCCGCCCCCACCTGGGTGCACTCAGGGTGAGGCCTCTGTGCCCTGAGTCCACTCCATCCTCTGTCTCATCACTTCCAACTGGCTGAGGCCCCCTATGGGCTCCTGGTGGGCGGGGCAGCTTCTGTGAGCTCTGCCACTGTGTCTGTGAGCTCAACACTGGCCAGCCCCCTCCAGCTTCTAGGGCCTGCAAGGAGGAGAAAGGCTAGCGCAAAGGGGATGGAGAGAGACCTGCCTGTGCCAAGGGGTGAGCTGCTGGAGGCCACCTTCTGCTGTGCCAAAGGCCAGGAGCATGGCTCTGCTCTGAGCCTGGTCTGGGGCCCCTCCCCCACTTCCCACCTCCCAGCTCTTCCCTCCTAGAGATACCTTCTTTGTCTGCAGAGGCCACTGCTCTGATTCTGTCTGTTGCTAGGTGATGGGAACTGGAGGGGAGCAAAGAGTGGGGAACTGGGCAGGGTCTGGTGGGCCCATGGTGGGGAGAGCTGGAATATGCAGGCTCATTGAGCACACAGACACCTATACACAGCCCTGCAGGCACTTGGGGACATGGCCCACCCCCACAGCAGACACCCCCACAGAGCACTCACGGCCCCCACAGAAACACACCCACACCCATCACAGCAAACGAAAACAATCATATGCTGGTACACAAACACACACACCCCCGCACCCATCCAGGCAGACAAAGCTCATGGTGACAGGCAGATCTGATTCACACAGACACAGGCACAGGTGCCTCCTAACACTACCTTCTCTTGGTCACGTGCCAGCACTCGGAGGGAGGGAAGCACCTCACCAGGCTGTGTTTGCCAGGCTGAGATGCCCAAGGGGTCCCCCACGGAGGGAAAGCAGGACATACAGGGACAGTCGCTTCCAGCCCCACCCGCCCCCTCATGCCCATATATGCCGCTTACCCCCACCCCACCCTTCCTGGACCTTTGTGTCACCTAGGATTGCAAAGGCCAGGTTCAGCCCAGAGCCTGGGGCCTTGCCCACTGCCTCACCTCCTTGGGGTGAGGCAGTCCTTGCTCCTTCCCTTTGCTCGTGTGTGCCCACCTTTAGCAAACGCCCCTGGGTCCATGGGGACACTTTGGCCTTTACAGAGAAGAGAAGCACATCATGCTCACAGCAGGAGGCCCTGCCTTGGTTCTAGGTGACATGAAGCAGGGTGGCTGCATAGAGCTGGGGAGCATCCCAAGTCTGTGCCAAGGTTCTAGGGACAAAGAGGGTGAGGGGGCAGTGGGGGAACCATGGATGGCTTCTAAGCAGCGTGTGCTGTGAGTCCTGGGGGGATAGGGGTGTATAGAGGGGAAGCTGGGAAGCAGGGCCACAGCTTTCCAACTGGTGGCTAAGTGTGGGGAAGACAGGAGGGGCAGATGCAGAGCAGGCACAGCTGTGTGCTGGGGCGTGGCAGGCTGGGGCGGGAGGGAGGGGCAGGCCTTCCCCTCCCATGTTCAGAGCAGGTGCAAACTCTTCTCCCATTCCTTCCTCCACGGTGCATCCTCAGCACCCTTCAGTACCAGTCTGTGTGGACAGCGTGAGCACAGAGAGTCGGGGCTCGCCCTCAGAGGCTTCAGGGGCGGCTTGCGCCCACTGGCATGGTCAGCTTCATGTCTGACCAAAGGGAGGGTGGTGGCTGCGACCAGAGCGAGGGGGGCATCCTGATGCAGCTGGGGAGTCCGGCTCAAGTGTGTGCTGTGCATGTTCCTGGGAGGCAGGTGAGTCCCCAGATCCTGGAGGACAAGTTAGCCTGGCGAAGGATGGCAGAGGACCCGGCCCAGGGGTCCCCAAAGTGGAGCACCAACGCTCCACGCAGGCCAAGTCACTGGTGAGTGTGCCACAGGAAGTATGCTGGAAGGTCTCTGCATTCCACAGGGTGTGAGAAGAAAACATTAGAACTTCTATTTTGTATGTGTGCTTCTCCACAACAGGAAAGAAATCAGCTTGATCAACACATACTGTAAAGACCTCACCGCCCTCCGGAGGCCCTCCCTCGGCCCTGGTGCTGGGGGCAGCCATGTCCCCTTGCAGCAGGGGGAGGCCTGAAGCACAGAAGGGCCCACACAGGTCCGTTCTGTTTCAGCGAATTGCCTGGGTAAGTGGATTTGTGGATTATAGTCTCTGGTTTTAATTAAACTAACCCTAACAAAATGAGCAAGTGGCTTAAGAAGTTTCATGTGAAGGAATGTGTTTTGAAGATAATGGAAGCAAGAGCTTAGAACAAGAAATGGTAACACGGCACTTTTCTTCACCCCTGGAAGGAGCCGCTCATGGTGCACAGTGCTAGGTAAATACAGCGTCTCTGGAATCGGCTCTGATGAGGACTTGGATACAGAAATTACAGCTCATCGAGAAGCCTGCTTGAAATGTGGTTTACATCCACGGCCGTGAACATGGGCCCCACCTAGACAACATCCCAGGGGGAATAACAGGAGAAAAAGCAAGTGGGAGGAGACAGTGTGCTTTATATCTCCTTGTGAGAAAAACAAAATGGAGTTATGGTATGTGTTAACACCTGCATGGGAACCGGAGGGACATGCATGATGCCAGCTTCTTTTTGAAGGGAGGCTGGCACTGTCACCTTTACGAGTCTCTGCTGCTTCGAGTTATTGCAATGATTCCGCATACAGTTATAGTGAGAGAAATAAGGAATTTTTAAGCATCTAGGGGTTTTTAAACCTTTTATTTTGAAATAATTTTAGGTTTACTGAAGAACTGAAAGGTGGTGCAGAGAATTCCTGTCCCTCATGTTAACACATCATCTAACCAGGACACAACTGTCAGAACTGAGGAATAGCTGTTGCCATGCCACCATGAACTAGAGTTCAGATGTCCCCAGCATTTCCACTGATGTCCTTTTTTCTGTTTCAGGAAATAATCCAGAATCCATTTCATGTGGTCATCTCATCCCCTCTGTCCCCTCCAGCCTTTCCTCATCTTTTGTGACCCGGTCACTCCAGAAGGACTCTGGCTGGTCAGTCCACAGGATGACCCTCCCCTGGGGCTTCTCTGATGCTTCCTTATGATGGCACTGGTGTCCTGAGGGGGAGGACCACAGAGGGGAGGTGCCCCTCATCACACCACGTGGGGTCCACACAACAGCGCCACTGCTTCCTGGGGCCCTTCACCTCCATCACTGGCGAAGGCGTCGTCTGCCAGGATTCTCCACTGTTGGTCGAGTTGTATCTGGAGTCCAAGCAGGGCAAGGCTTCACGGCACGGATCAGGAGACAGGGAGAGAGGCAGCCAGGCCAGGTCACAGGCGACCTTGACTGTGGCATGTGAAGAGCGATGGGCAGATGTGGTGAGGTCAGCTGTGAAGTTCTAAAGTCTCGGTGGCATCTTTGAGAGAGAGAGTTGCCGGGGAGAGGGAGGAAGCTGGGGTCCAGTGTTGCCAGGTGATGGGGGAGGAATAGGAGAGAGAAGAGGACAATTCAAGGACAAGGGAGGAGGTAGGACACAGAGGGCTCAGTGTCAGGTACCCCGCACAGTGCTTCTCTCACTTGGAGAAGCAGGAAGTGAGGCTTAGAAAGTGCACGGCCTACGTCTTCTGAGATGCCCCTGTGTGCTGTCTACAGAGCAGGCAACACATGCCTGATGGCAGCTGCATAAAGAAAAGCAGGAGCCAGATATCGGCCTCAAGGGTGTGCTGGGCCTGTTCTCTGCCTCACTAATCCTGTGCGACAGGTGAATGTACAGGGGCCCGGGAAGCGAGGATACTGGCCCAGGTGGCAGTCAGTTGGGGCGAAGGGAAAGAGCCTGAGTCTTTCCCCCAGATCCTGCAGGCCCTGTGCTGAGGCAGACAAGCTGCCTCCTCTGTCCTGGCCTCCAGCCCCTGCAGACCCTGCCCGTTTCCACTTAAAAGTAGGGGAGTCTTTTGGCCTAGGTGAGGCTGGGGTGAACACGAGGGGAGCTCTGTTCTAGGTGCCTGGGTGACAAACTACTCCAAGCCTAGAGGCTTAAAACAGCAGCCATTTTCTGCTGCTCTCCTAGTCTTTGGGTCAGGAATTCAGCCAGAGTATATCAGGGTGCTTCTCCTCTGTTCTGCAAGTTCAAGAAAGCTGGGGAGACTAAGGGCTGGGTGGTGACCCTGGTGGTTCAGGCTGCTGGGGTTTGGAGGGAACTGGAGGTTTCCTCATGCCCAAGCCTGGCACCTGGGCTTGAGTGAAAGCTGACACAGCCTCCCCGGGTGGCTTGGCCCTCCTCACAGCATGGCAGGCTGGGCTCCAGAGGTGCATCCTGAGGCCCAGTTCCTAGAGACCTCATTCTTCTGACCTCATTCCTATGACGTTTTTTTCAATGCAAGGAAATCACCAAGGCCAGGCGAGGTTCAAGGCCAGGGGCATAGGGGCGGGGAAGTTAGAGGCCACCCTTAGGCAGGGACAAGACAAGGTCAGTGCCATTATTTGTCCCCCAAACTCATGTTGAAATGGGGTCCCCAGTGTGGTGGTGGTGGTGGGAGATGGGGCCTAGTTGGGGGTGTTTGGGTCATGAGGCCTTCCCTCCCTCATGAGTGGTTGGTGCTGTTCTAGGTTGTGAGCGAGTTCTCACTGGTGAGGCTGGATGAGTTCTCACAGGAATGCGCTCGTTCCCTCTAGAGCGGGTTGTGATAAGGCCAGCCACCCCTCGGTTTATCTCCCTTCACACTTGCCTGTTTTCCCTTTGACCCTGGCCATGTTATGAAGCAGCACAAAAGTCCTCAACAGAAGCCAGGGCCAAGGCTTTGAACTTCCTAGTCTGTTAAAGCAGCGAGCTAAAGGACCCTCTTTTCTCTATCAATGACCCAGCCTCAGGTACTCTTTCATAGCAACACAAAAGGGACTAAGACAGTCACATTGCAAAAGAGTCTCTGGGGTGGGAGGTGCTGTGTGGCCACCTCTGGAATGCAGTCTGACCCCTGGTCCTTCAGCCCTGTGTCTGGTGTGACCCTGGAGGTAGCTGCTTCCAGGGCCACAAAGCTCCTGCATCTCCCCCACACCCACCACCATCGTGCAGTGCTTGTCCAATCCATCACTTAGTGCTCCAGCCTCAGTGTCCCTATTTGGCATTCCATTCCCCACAGTGACCTGCAGGCCAGACCCTGCCCCTGGCTGGGTCTCTGAATTCAACTAGGGACATGCAAACTCCCACCCCCAAGAGGGTGACTTTGGAATCAGTTCCCCAAGTTCCAGTTCCAGTGTGCCCCTCACCTGCCACACTGCCTGGAACTGGCTCTCTCTCCTCCATGAGGCTTAGCCTCTAAGAGGCTACCCACAGGCCTGGCAGCAAGTGCCTCCCTGCATTTTTTATGGAAGATCCCTCCTTTATCTCCCCCTCCTCCCAGTCTGCACAGCGCCCACCCTCACGCCACCCTTGGCTGAAAATTGGTGTCCAGGCCAGCCCTAGGCTTATGCCCCACTCTGACACCTCAACTGGGCTCTGTCTCAGCCTTGCACCCAGGCCTGCCAAATTCTATTTTGGTTTGTATATCGTGCTTTTGAGAGCATCTCCTTGTGCAGGTTTTTGAATGGTCATTCCAGGTATTAGATTATACGTATATAACTTACCACAGTTAACTGATGCTGACATTGTATCAGTCGGGATGAAGTGGAGAAACCCAAGTCCTTCATGTTCCTGTTCTCTCCTCCTTTAAAATATAATTCTCTTTAATGTTTCCTCTCCATACATGGACAATCGCGTCACAGCGTTCCAAGTGTTGCTCCAATTGTCAAGCGTAATTTAGGAAACTCAAGAGATGAGTGTGTTTTGTTCACTGTGTTCTTCCTTCCTTACACTGTGAGATTCCTTCTTTTGTCTTTCTCTTTCTGTTTGCCAAACTTCCTTTAATCACTCCTTTTTGGTAGGTCTGCTGGTAACAAAGTCTCTGTTCTTTTTTTCTTCTGCAGATGTCTTGATTTCCTCTTGATTTCTGAAGGTTATTTTCACTGGATGTAAGATTCTGGGCAGAGAGGTCTTTTCTTTCAGCTCTTGAAAAGTGCTGTGCCACTTCCTTTCTATCTCCATGGTTTCAGTGAGAAATCTGCTGTCATTAAAATGGTTTTCCCTTAAAGGTAAGATGTTGTTTCTTTCTTTTTTGTTTTTTTGGATTGAGCCTTACTCTGTTGCCCAGGCTGGAGTGCAGTGGTGTGATCTCAGCTCACTGAAACCTCTGCCTTCCAGATTCAAATGATTCTCTTGCCTCAGCCTCCTGAGTAGCTGGGATTACAGGTGTGCCCCACCATGCCCGGCTGATTTTTGTATTTTTTTTTTTTTTCTTAAGATGGAGTCTTACTCTGTAACCAGGCTGGAGTACAGTGTTGACATCTTGGCTCACTGCAACCTTCCACCTCCAAGGTTCAAGAGATTCTCCTGTCTCAGCCTCCCGAGTAGCTGGGATTACAGGTGCGTGCCACCACGCCCAGCTAAGTTTTGTATTTTTAGTAGAGATGGTTTCACTGTGTTGGCCAGGATGGTCTTGAACTCCTGACCTCAAGTGATCTGCCCGCCTCGGCCTCCCAAAGTGCTGGGATAGTGGGCATGAGCCTCCGTGCCCGGCCAAGATGTTTCTTTCTTGCCACTTTCAAGACTTTGTGTTTGTCTTTAGTTTTCAGAAGTCTCAGTAGCAGGTGTCTTGGCAGAGGTTTGCTTTGATCGATGCCATTTGGGGTTTGCTCTGGTTCTTGAACCTGTAAGTCTATGTCTTTTGCCAAATTTAGGAAATTTCCAACCATTAATTCCTTGAAAAATCTTTTCGGCTCCACTCTCATCTTTCTTTCTTTCTTGGTCTCTCATAACTTGACTGTTAGATCTTTTGTTATGGATAGACCAAAATGTATATAGAGCAAAATATATATATCTGAGATTCTGCTCATTTTTACCTCAATCTATTTTTTGCTTTGTTGTCCAAATTGAGTAATTTCTATTATTTTATCTTTAGATTCACTGACTCCTCCTCCATCCTTTCTATTCTGGCGTTGAGCCATCCACTGAGTTAATTTGGTTATTGTGTTTTCAACCCTGAGTTCCCATTTGGTTCTTCTTTGTGGCTTGTTTCTCTGCAGAGATTTCCTGTTTTCTCACTTGATTCTGTTGTGTTTGCTGTTAAGCGTTTTTGTGATGGTGGCTTCAAATTGTGTTCAGATGATGCTGCCGTTGGTGTCATCCTGGGTTAGTCTCTGTGTCTCTTCTCATCTGGGTTGGTGTTTCCTGGATCCTGGTGTGGAGTTATTTGCAATTGAAGCCTGGATATCAGGGGTTATACGATGGGCTTTGGTCCTTATTTAAACCTCTGTCTCAGCCCAGGCTGTGGTGAACGTCCCTGCCCCTAGTTGGGCAGCTCTGATCCCTTCCCAAAGAGTGGGTGGCACGTCAGTCAGTACATCTGGATGAAGCTGGAGGCCTAGGCTCCCTCCTCAGTCTCTGCTGGCCAGGGTCAGGTGGGGGCTGGTCTTTTCCTGTGTGGTCTGATGGCATAGGTCAGTTGTCATCTAAAGTGTTCTGGAATGCCCCATGCCTAGCTAGAGGGAGCAGGTTTTTCTTGGGGATTGTTTTCCAAGCCCGTTGGTGTTTCTGGGTTACTGACTCTTTAGCACCCAGTTTGGGATACACGAAGCAAAAAGAAAGCCCATGGAATTTACCAGTGTGCTGTTGCCAGGTCCTGAGACTCCTGGGTGCTCGTTCTCTCCACCTCTCAGGGCCTTCTTGTATTCATTCTACACAGAATATCCATGACTTTAGCTATATTTGGTGGAGGGAACTAAGAAAAAGTACCTTGACTTCTTCCATATTTCTGGTTGAAGAAGTTCCAGTGGGTAAAGCCCTTTGAAATTGTACTCTTGCACCGTGCTCTACCCCAGCCTCCTTCAAGATTCTGAGCTGTGCACTGCTGCTATTCATACTACTTGTCAGCTCTGCTTGTCCAACTCTTGTGAAAAGTCTAAACATGACATTGGGTGATACCCTGGGGTGCACAGAGCAGAAAGCCAAGCTCTCAGGAGAGGTCCCTTGGATCCAAGAGGGTGGGCAGGGGCTGGAAGCAGGGAAGCTGGGATGGGGCTGGGCTGAGGTCTGGGGAGGTCTGGGTCCGGGCCAGAGGAAAGCCAGTCCTTGGATCTACCAACACCCACAGCCAATCCACACTAATTCTATGTATTCATGAGTTTTTCTCTAAAACTCTTCTTCCCAGTTTCCCCCAAACCATTCACTTCATCTAGGCCAGGGTCCACCCTCTGCCCCTCTGCTGTGCTCATGGGAACTTCTTTTTTTTTCTTAACTTCCAAGACAAGTGAGCTCATGGAAACTTCTCCATTGTTGACTAGGACCTATAGGAAAACCCTCCTCTTCTTCTATATGCAGAGGCTGCACAGCTCCTGGTTTATTTGCATCTCTCCAGACCTACATGACCACATGGCGCCTGCAGCTCTGAGGGCATTTTAAATCATCATAGAATAACAAGCGTACAAGCATGATGAGTGCCCCTGGACCTCTGACATGCCTTGCTGGAGACCTGCCAGGCCCACATTTTAATTTACGTGAACTCGATGCCCTCTTTGACAGGGAGAGACCTGCTTCTTTATTTGTTAGCCTTTCTCCTGGACCTGCTAGATCTGGACCATCCCTGGGAAAGGAAGGTCACACCACAAAGGTAAATAAAAACAAAATGAGTTAATTAGGAAGGAGTTAATTTGAAATTAAATATTCCCAAGAGTCCAGGCCCTTCCGTTTTAAGGAAATTTTTCTCCCCTTTAAAATAGAACTGTTGGGTAAAATGAAATTCCATTGTATATGGTCTCACTTAGAATTTCTGTCCCATTTCACAAATGCAAACACCAAGGCTCTTTGGGGTGAGAGATTTGCTACACCAGGCCCTGACAGGCACAACCAATGATCATCAGCTCAGGGTATGTCTGCTGGCTTCACAGTTGCCCTGCTATTCTGTAGTCCAATGTGGCTGCTCTAGCTCCAGTCATCAAGTCTGCATTCTCACCAGTGGGAAGGGCAAAGCATGACCTTTCTTTTTAAGAAAACATTTGAAATTGCACACATTTCTGCTCATGTTTTACTGGTTGGCATTTAAATGGATGGGCGTACCTAGCTGCAGGGAAGGCTATAGCAGTCTTCATTCTGGAAGGCTGTATACTCAGCTAAAAATCTAGTTTTATTTTTATGAGAGAAGTTGAGCATGGATATTAGAGGGACAATGAATCATTTCCACTTCATCTTCTAATAAATGTGACAAGAGCAATGCTTTTTATATTTTGTATATTGACTCAATCCAGAACACACTGGGCATCTCTCCTGTATGAGGCCTGGGCTTGAGCTCAATGGGAGATGCACATATGTGTGAGACTAAATGGCACGGAGAGGCCAGAAAAGAGAACAAGTGACATTTATTGAAGACTTACCACGTCCTGGGCCAAGAGCTCTGCATACGTCAGTTGCTTTTCATCTTTACAACTCAGTAAATCTGCAGAAACTGAGTTGTACATCTACAGAAACTGAGTTTCAGAGAGACGAAGTGTGTCTTAGGTCTGGTTCCCAGGGAAACAAACTGTGAGATGAAGATTTGCGTGCAGAAAGTTTATTAGGGAGTAAACTCAGGCTTGACACTGGTGAGGGAGTGAGGGAAGGGGGACTGGGCAGAGGGAGAAGTTGAGCAGCAGTGAAGATGAAACAGAAGGCTCAGCCATTCTCACCTGAAAGGCCCTTCAGAGTGGTTCTTTTTTTTTTTTTTTTTTTAGAGATGGAGTCTTACTCTGTCACCCAGGCTGGAGGCAGTGGCACAATCTCAGCTCACTGCTACCTCTGCCTCCCGGGTTGAAGCGATTCTGCTGCCTCAGCCTCCTGAGTAGCTGGGATTACAGGTGTACACTATCATGCCCAGCTAATTTTTGTATTTTTAGTAGAGACGGGGTTTCACCATCTTGGCCAGGCTGGTCTCGAAATACTGACCTTGTGATCTACCTGCCTTGCCCTCCCAAAGTGCTGGGATTACAGGCGGGAGCCACCACGCCCAGCCATGGTTCTTAATTTCTAATTAAGGGGTCAGGACTCTGTACCCTCTCACCAGCCAGGCACTGGATATGGGATGCCTAACCCTAAAGCCCCCTTCCTTCCAGCAGGGGCAGTACCCAGGGATGCAGCTGTCAACCTTCAGCCTTCAACATTCCCAGACGCCTTGGTCCAGAAGTAGGGGTCTGGGCTGCACAGGACAGTGTCTTCTATGAAATGACACAGTCAAGGTCACATAGCTTGGGGTTCAGTGCTGAGATTCCAGTTTAGTTCTGTCTCCAGAATCCATGCAGCTCCTCATATTCCTTGCTGCTGTACAGGGGACTGCCCAGGGGCGGACAGGACTTGCAGGGGAGTTAGCTTGGAGGCTGGACCCTCCCCTGGCACATTGCCCCTGAAGATGCAAGAGAAGGCCCTCCTTCACAGCTCTGGGGCCCCATTTCACCCCTTCCTCTTCACCCTGCTCAGTGTGCTCCAGCCATACTGCCCTCTTCACCGCTCCTCTGACAGTCCACACTATCTCCAGATGCAGGGAAGTCCACGCGCAGCTCCTTTCCCTGGGAACACACCTCCTCCAGCCTCACACACGGGCTGCTACCTGTGACTTGAGTCCCACTGAAATGCCACCTTCCCTGACCACCTTTTGACATTGTCTCCCTGCCCTAGTCCCTCTGGTCCCTATTAACTGTCATGCTAGTCCCCAGGATTTCGGAGCCCCTCTCTAGAATGATCTTTCATTAGATTTCATGTGTACACTCCGTCCCCACTAGCACGTAAGCTCAGTGAGGGCAGAGATCTTGTCTGTCCTGCTTACCGCTGTCTCCCTAGCACCTAGCCCAGTGTCTGGCACATAGTAGGTATTCTATAAATATGAGTTAGATAATGAAATGAAAAAATAAATGCATGAAAAGGATAAAAATCACCCTAATCCAGAGCAGAAAGAACTTGGGCCTTCAAGGGACTGCCTAGATTTGGGGGGTGTTTGAAGGGAGCAATTCTTTCCTTCCAGCTGCCCCAAGGAGACACAGCAGAGTCAGCCTCAGTTTCTCCAGCTGTAAGCAAGGGAATGGGGCTGGCTTCCTACCTTCTAGGAAGCACCTGGGGTTCTTGGATGGTGTGTGTGGCAGGATCGTGTCAGCACGGTTTCTTCTGAGGGCCCTCTCTCCTTTGCTTGCAGGGGGCTTTCTCCTCCTCCCGGGTCTTCACCTGCTCATTCCCCTTTGTGTGTCTGTGTCCAGATCTCTTCTTACAAGAACACCAGTTATACTGGGTTATGAGCCGCTCGTTTTAACCTAAGTACCTCTTTACTGACTGTGCAGGAGTCCTCCTGATCTGCGAGGGTGGATGTTAGAGACCTTGGATAGTGCTGAACTTTTGCTACACATGCCAACCTATGATAAAGTGTAATTTATGAATTAGGCACACTGAGAGATTAACAATAGCAACCACTAATACAATAGAGCAGTAATAAGGGTTACAGAAGTGTGGCCTCTCTCACTCTAAACGCCCTATTGTGCCACACTTACCTTTTCTGTGAGGCTGTGAGATGACACAATACCTTTGTGAGTGAGTGACGTGGCACTGTGACAGTGTCAGGCTGCTGCAGACCTTCTGATGACATGTACGTCAGAGGGAGGGTCACCTGCTGTGGGGACCCTGGCCATTGAGCCATGATGACACTGCAGGCTGGATGTCAGGAACAGACAATGTTGATGACTCACAGGTAGGGGAGTTGCAGGTACAGCATAGACACTGGACAGCAGAATGATTCACACCCAAGCCGGATGGGGCTGCACTCAGTGGGGTTTTTAAGTTTACTCCGCAGAATGGTGTGCAATTTAAAAGTTATGAATAGTTTGCTTCTGGAATTTTCTTTGTTCTTCTTCTTCTTTTTTTTTTTTTTTTGAGACAGGGTCTTGCTTTGTCACCCAGGCTTAAGTGATCCTTCCAGGCTCAAGCGATCCTCCCACCTCTGTCTTCTGAGTAGCTGGGACCACAGGCGCACACGACCATGCTGGGCTAGTTTTTAGATTTTAAACTTTTTCTAGAGATGGGGTCTTGCTATGTCGCCCAGGCTGTGGCATTTTCCATTTAATATGTTCAGATGTGATTGACTATAGGTAACTAAAATTTCAGAAAGCAAAACAGCAGAGAAGTAGGGACTATTGCATCTCCAAGCACAATCCCATTCTGGGGTACTTGGCATAGAGGTCAGTGTGTGAATTTTGGGGCCACCATGTAGCCTGTGAGATGGGGTGCCAGGCCATCCCGAAGACCGGGAGAAGCAGGAGGCCCTGGCATTTCCACCTATTTATTTATTGGAGGATCTTGGCATAGTAAAAAATGAAGGCATGTCTCAATGGCCTAAATAAATGGGTCTGTATTTTAAGTGGTCACTTCAACAAGTTAGTACTTTAAACAGGTAATGCACCACAATTGAACAAATCACAAGATAATTGCAATATTATTAACCAAAATGTTCATTTACTGCATTATCTGTTCTGGTCATGGGACATAACTTTTCAGTTTTGCGATGAGCGGCTTTGTCTTTTATGCATCTCCACATTCAGGGACAAAATATTCTAACTTCTGACTCCTTGAGTCAGGGCACTGCCAGGCGCACAGTGGGCGCAACCTCCCTCACCTCCTTTTCTGCAGCCTGCCAAGCCTCTGCCTGGGCGCACAGTCCTACAGCCCAGCCTCTGCGGAGTGGGCGGGGAGCGAGGCCTCGCTTGGGTAGCATTGCCATGGCAACCTCTCCCCACGCCGCTCCTCGCTGAGACCCGGGCATCTGTGGCCATGGCGACTGGGCCCGCCACTGGCACATCTGCATAGCAACCAGAGAGGGCGCGGAGCGCAGCTGGGCCCCGCTCAGGAAAGCAGGTACACTCAGAGCTTTTATCAATCATTAAGGAGAAGCCGGGTGCCTCTGTGGAAAAAGGACAAAGGACGCAGACAAAAGACTTGGAACCGCAAGTGGCTAATAAATCTATGACAAGTGCTCAACATTACCAGTGATCATAGAAATGCAAATGCAAACAACAATAAGATACTTAAAGAAAAACGACAACAACTAGTGCAATTGGCAAGAGATGAGGCACCAAAGAGATAGGACCCAGAGTTGGGGGTGTGTAGGGAATGGGGACTCAAACACCCTGCTGCTCTGAGTGCACATTCGTGGAACATTTCTAAGAAGGCAATTTGCAATCTGTATCAAAAGCCTTTAAAATGCACATACCTTTTGAACTAACAATTCCAGTTGTAGTAATTTATTCCAAGGTAATAATTAAATGAGTAAAGATTCAGATCCTAGTGTGTTCCCTGTAGGAGCAATTATAATAGCAAAAACTTTGAAACAACCACAATCTGAAAAAAAAAGACAATTGATTAAATCATCTATTTTGCATACATATAAGGGAATGCTATGCAACCATTAAGAAATGTTATAGAAGACTACTTAGAGGTGCAGAACGATAGTTAACAATAGCATATTGTAAAACAGATTATAAAACAGATGTATAGTGCTGCTCAGGGTCCTCCTCCCAACATCTCCAGTCATCAGCCTCCTCTGCACCCAGGGGAGAGTGTCAAGGCTCAGCAGAACACTGCCGAAGGTTCCTAGAGAGAGCGGCTGGAAGTTTCTGTGCACATGAGTGCACGTCTGAGTGTGCACCTTGGGGAGAAGCACAGTTCAGGGCTGCAGGCCTGGGAAGCCCAGGTTGTCTCCTGACACCACGTAATTGTGTGACTTGTGGACAGCCCTTCCTGGAGAGCTTGTCAGGTTGAGGAAGTCGCTGCTGTCCTGGCCCCCCCATCCCAGGCTGTCTGTTCCCAAGCCAGACATCATCTCTCAGTTGGGTCAAGGGGATGAACCATGAAGAGTCAAATAATTTTTTCAAGGCAACCATCCAGATTTGAAGCCTTGCCTGCATGAAGAAAATCAACTTCAACATAAGGCATTTTTTAAAAATTCAAAAACTTTTCTGTTGTAGTAAAATACACATAAGAAAACTGTCCATTTTAACCATTGTTAAGTGTACAGCTCAGTGTGCACCCATCATCACCATACGTCTCCAGAACTTTCTCTTCCCAACGGAAACTCTGTACCCGTTAAACACTAACTCCCGTTTCTCCTCCCACCAGTCCCCCTAGCAACCACTATTTTGCTTTCTGATTCTGACCACTGTAAGAACCTCATATAAGTGAGATCATTAAGTATTTGTCATTCGGTGACTGGTTTATTCAGTTAGTACAGTTTTCAGGGTTCATCCATGTTGTAGCATGTGTTAGAGATTCCCTCCCTTTTAAGGCTAAATATTTAACATTCTGTTGTGTGCATATACTACATTTTGTTAATCCATTCCTCTGACAATAGACACTTGGATTGCTTCCACCTTTTGGCTGTTGTGAATATTGCTGCTGTGAACATGAGTGTGCAATTATCTCTTTGAGACTCAATGTAGGACATTTCCAATGAAGATCCATCCTGTGGAGTGAAGCTAGAGAGGCTGTCAGGGATGGGCTTTGCTATCTCCATGTAGAGAAGTTGTCACTGTACGGATCCGTTGGAGAAGAACCAGGCAAACCAGAAGACACACGTGAAGGAAGTGGCATTCATCCAGATGGAAGCGCCACTCACCAGAGAGCTGGGAAGACAGTGAGGTAAAGAGTTTTGTGCATCTCTTCTTCCTACTTACATACTCAATGTGTTCACAGATTGCAGCATAACTTAAACAGTTATCAGAAAAGTAAAGAGTGAGAAGCCATATAGAAATAATGAGAGTGAGAAACCTCTCAGAGCATATACTTAATTTGGCATAAAAGAACTCAAATAGAAGACAAACCCTGTGGAATTTACAAACAGTGTTCAATTTGGCAGCCACAGTACATGTATGCATGAGACAGTTCTTAGGGAGGAAAATATTGTATACAAGGTCTATGGGCAAGTGTGGAGCTACAGTATATCCCTCAGTGGATGCCAGAGAATTTGTGTGGAAGAAAGTCTATATGCATGACATGTGAACTCCATCTGAAGTCTTTTGTGCTATTTGTGACCTGATCTTTATGTGATTCACATGGTCACCCCCCTTTTCTGGCTCCTGCTAGCTCATGGTTTGTCTCCTCTATCTCTATTAGTGTTGAGCTCTTGTATCTACTTTGTACTCTTGTTTTATACTGGCAGTGACTTCATTATGCTTTGGTAATTTTTAAAGTAAATTAGTATCTGTATTCTGCTGCTCAGGAGTGATATATTTTCTAATGAATGATATATATCTGCCATTTGGTTTTCTGTGACATTTCTCATTTTTTAGTTATCTCAATAGCTTTATTAAAATAACTAAAATATGAGATAACTTTAATAATTATCTAGTACCTAACTACAGTCATGTGTCACTTAACAGTGGGGATATATTCTGAGAAATGCATCCTTAGGCAATTTCATTACTGTGCAAAGAGTGTCCTTATACAACCTAGATGGCCTAGCCTATACACCTGGGCTATATGGGATAGCTTGTTGCTCCTAGGCTACAAACCTGTACATGTGCAACTATACTGAGTACTGTGGGCAATTGTAACATAGCACCTTTTATTTATCTAAACATGGCTAAACATAGAAAACAGACATCTTTAGAAAGTATAAATTTCAGCCTGGCATGGTGGCTCATGCCTGTAATCCCAGCACTTTGGGTGGCTGAGGTGGGCAGATCACCTGAGGTCAGGAGTTTGAGACCAGTCTGGCCAACATGGTGAAACCCTGTCTCTACTTAAAACACACAACAATTAGCTGGGTGTGGTGGTGCACTTCTGTAATCCCAGCTACTCAGGAGGGAGGCAGAGGTTGCAGTGAGCTGAGATCATGCCATTGCATTCCAGCCTGGACAACAGAGTGAGACTCCATCTCAAAAAAACCAAAACAAAAAAGGGCCAGGCGTGGTGGCTCACGCCTGTAATTCCAGCACTTTGGGAGGCTGAGGCAGGTGGATCATCTTAGGTCAGAAGTTCAAGACCAGCCTGGCCAACTTGATGAAACCATGTCTCTACTAAAAATACAAAAAGTTAGCAGGGTGTGGTGGTGGGGGCTTGTAATCCTGGCTACTCAGGAGACTGAGGCAGGAGAATCACTTGAACCCAGGAGGTGGAGGTTGCAGTGAGCTGAGATTGCACTTTAACCTGGGCAACAAGAACTCCATCTCGAAAAAAAGAAAATATAAATTCCAAGAAAAAATTCCAGGTTGTTCACTGAGGTTAAATGTAAACGGTACTATTTCACCTTAGAAGACTGGGTGATGTCATCACCATAGCATGTTACTATTTTCATACTCTAGCAATCTGTCTTCTTAGTTCCAAAGCTCAGGAACCAACTTCCGCAGATATACTCAGAAATAGAGCTTGTTAAAAGGATACTGGGTACCTCAGAGATTTACAAAAAAATCTGCATAATCATTTTCATTTTCAGGGACAAGTCTTTGGATATCACTCCCAGAATCCTGCTGTGGAACCTGAGACTGTGCCTTGGCCCCCTATGTGCATGTGGGTCTGGCAGAGCCTGGATCATGTGCCCTTGCTGGAGGCAGGTCGCCAAGGGAGATCCCAGGGTTCTCAGCTGCTTCCAAAGGAGTGAGCAGGCTCTGCCTCCCAATCAAAACCCATGGACTGGTGACTTGCCACTCGTAAAAGGGTGATTTATTTGCTAAGCAGCAAAGCAAACAAACAAACAAATGGCATGCATTTTCTTCCCAAACTTTCACACATTTAAATATACGTGTGGATGTGCTGTACAACTTCCTTATTACTGAACTTACTCTCCCTTTAAAAAGAAGGTCTCCCAAAGTTTCGAAAGGTAAGAATCTATGTCCAAGATCAGCATCTAAGGAACATGCCCATCCCTTCTATGATGAAATTTCTTTAAACACAGAAAAAAGTTCAGATGCTGAGTATCCGATAGGAGAATCTTAAAACCAGGTCTCATCACCAGTCTGAAAGCAAGGCTTTGGGTGGGTTTTTCTAGTACAGTTTTTGAGGAGACTTTCTTTAAAAGAGTTTTTATATGCTGTAAATGAGTTGGTGAAGGAATAAGTTGTTCAGTTGACTAAGATGATTTTCATCCTTGCTTGTAGATCTTTTTGCATCTGACAAAATCGGCAACTTTGTGTTTGCTATAAGAATTATTTTGTTCCATAAAAACGATCATTTGACTTTTCTTACGCAGTTCTTGGTGCTGTAAGAATAAGATAAAATAGCTCATGTTATGCAAAAAGACAGATGAACCTGTAACCCACTGGGGGTGCGACTATGGCCATGATGGCGTTTAAGGTAGCAGCATCACCTGTGCTTTTATCTTAGCATGTGCTTTTTCTCCTGAATATTCACTCTAAGGCATGAAGTTCTCTGTGATGGCTGCCTCCCTCTCCCACTGATAATTCCTGGGACCTGGATGTTAGGTCAAGTTCTTGAAACTTGGCCATTTCCTTGGGTTCTCCTTCTTTTCCCAGGTGGTATAAGTTTACTCTCTGATGATGTTGACTTAGTTCTGGTTTGTTGGTATCTGGGAGGCCAAGTGGCTGGAGACACCAGTGGTCATGGTAGATCTGGCTGGCATCTGACCATCAGCCGTCTTCTCTCTCCTTCATGCACTGCGCTTGCGCTGCTCCCACTTGCCCGCCTCCATCTCTTGCCTTTCCTTCTGAGAGGCACTACTCCTGACAGTCACTTTCTGGCTATATGCAACTTTTGATAGGGGTAACGTACTGACTCCAGTGCTCTGAGAATATATTGAGGTCTTGCCAAGAACCTGGGTTGGTAGTGTACTCTTTCATAAAATATAATATGGGTTATATTATAGGACTGTAAGTGGGATGTGCTGAAATTCTAGTAGTGAGACTTGAGTCAACGACAAGGAACCAAGCTTACCTAGAGGCTGGAGGAAAATTTTGGTGAACTCTCAAAGGTGATTTGGAGAAAGCTGCTGTGTTCTCTTATGTGGCAGTCTTCTCCTTGTGTATTTCCTTGTGCAGACATGGGGCTGTGCTCAGGTGATGGTGACAGTGGAGCTTATCTGGACTTGTGAGCAATGCAGCCACCTCCAGGACATGTCCCTGAGAAGAGGGACGCTCAGTCCCTGTAGCATCCCATGCAGTGTGTTCTCCATCAGCATCTGACATCTACTTGTGTCTCTCCCACCCAGATGGGAAGCTGAGGTGACTTGTATTCAGAATACTTCTCTTTGTTTTGCTGGATAGAATCTGATTGTATTTTTAAAATATAAAATTTGGTCTGGACATGGTGGCTTATACCTGTAATCCAAGCACTTTGAGAGGTCAAGGTGGGAGGATTGCTTGAGCCCAGAAGTTTGATGCCAGCCTGGGCAACATAGTGAGACCCTGTTTTTACGAAAATAAAAGAATTAGCAGGGTGTGGTGGCACATAAGTGTGGTCCCAGCTCCTTGGGAGGCTGAGGTGAGTGGATCACTTGAGCCCCGGGAGGTGGAAACTTCAGTGAGCTATTATGGCACCACTGCACTCCAGCCTGGGTGACAGAGTGAGACTTTGTCTCAATATATAGTTATTTATTTATAAAATATATATATTATTTTTTATATATCAAAAAATATATATGTAATAAAAGAACCCCACCCAAGATGTACAGTGTGATTTTCTTTTGGTTAAAAAAATGAAGACATGCATAGAAAAAACTGTTAGAAGGATATATATCAAAATGTTAGCAATGATTATCTCTGAGAGGTGTAACACCCATGATTTTATTTTCTGTTTCTCTCCTGTTTTCTAAATGCTTACACTGAACATGTACTGCTTTTGCAATAAGAAAAAAAGCCATTTAGGAATTATCAATATCCGAAAATGTAGACCTGTACCCCAATAAATTAAGGAAGGATTTATTCACTTTATGAGAGAGAATTTTAGATTTCAGGGGGTTCACAGTTCTATGAATAAAATAGGAACCTGATAAATATTAGTTGAATCAATTAATAAATTACTTTGCTCTGGGATTTTCTTTAAGTGGCAGATTCCCTGGTGTATTTCAGATGAAATCAATTTACAGAAACATGAATTGCACGTTTCCCTGGAACACTATCCATTGCGTAAAGGAGAAGATCAGATGTGAAGTAGTGTTCTGGTTCCTGTTCTGCCTCTGATTGTAGTCCCGGCCCTCTCCCCTGTGCCTGGCCCTCATGATCAGTTTCCTTAGCTAAAAAGGGGAATAATAGTCACTTGCTCTCAGGGTACTTTAATGTTTGTGAAAAACCTTTAGCAAGTGTAGGCTTGATGTAAGGCAGGCAAGCCCTAGAACTGGGGCTTAGCCTGTGAAGGTTCTTGGTTTTGTGTAGAGAGAATTCAAGAGTGAGCCAGTGGAAGAAGAAACAGCTTATTTATTGAGGTGGCAGTGTTAGAGCTCTGTGACTGCTCCTGCAGAGCAGGGCTGTCCCTAGGCAGTGTATGGAGAGCAGCAGCTCAGGGTCTGTTCTGCAGTCATATTTATACCCATGTTTAATTAAATGCAAATTAAGGGGAGGCTATTCAACATTTTCTAGAAAAAGGATGGTAACTTCTGAGTCATTGCCATGGAAAGGGGTGGCAACTTCTGGGTACATCCATGGCAATTGTAAACTGACACGGCATTGTCAGTTGGAAAGGTGCTTTTGCCTCTCTCCTATTTCAGCTAGTCTCCAATCTGGTCTGGAGTCAACCCCACCTCTGGAGTTGAGCCTCACCTCCTACCTCAGGTTGGGCTGCCAAAAAGTAAGAATGTAAGGGTTAGAATCTATGTGAATATGAATATATTGAAGCCAAAGAAACAGGGGTGGTTAAAATGATTTCTCCCTTGTAAATTGTGAGTGCACAAATTGCAACAAACAGAAATGTACAGCTTAGTGAATTACTGCCAGGCAAATTCCCATGAAGCCACCAACCAGGTCACAAAATTGAACACTGCAGGAAGTTCCTATTGTGTTCCTCCTAATCCTTCCCACCTCCCTCCTCCCCCAGTATGACCACTCTCCTGACTTGTATGGTAATCGGTTCCTCTCTTCTTTATTGTTTTATCACTATACTAAGCATGCATTCCTAAAACATAATTGTTTAGATTTGCCTGTTTAAATAATAAATGACGGAATTATGTCGTTTGTATTCTTTTTTGCTTGCACCGTTTGTTTAACATTTTGTTTGTGAGATTCATCCATGCTGTTGTGTGTAGTGGCAGTTTGCTTGTTTTCATTGCTCTTTGGTATTTTACTGGGTAAATCGAACACAATTTATATTTCTATTTTCTGCTTGTGGACACGTGGTTTGTTTCAAGTTTGGGGCTATTATGAACAATGTAGCTATGACCATTTTTCACTTGTCTTAAATGAGGTGTTCACACTGCCTGGGACCATTTTGTACCTGTGCACACATTTCTCTTGGGAATAAATCTAGGAGTGGAACTGCTGAGTTATGAGGCCTGCATAGCTCAACTTTAGAACGTAATGCGAAACTGATTTCCAAAATAGTTGTGCCAGTTTGCACGTTTATCAGTAGTATGTGAGAACTCCTGTTCTTCTACATTGCTACCAACACCTTGTATTGTCAGACATTTTAATGTTAGTCCATTCTCATGGGTGTGTAAAGATATCTCATTGTGGCTTGAATTTCTATTCCCATAATTACTAATGAGACTGAGCATCTTTTCATGTGTTCATCGATCATTTGTATATCCTCTTTTGTGAAGTGCCTGTCAAAGTCTCCTGCCTATTTTTCTGTTTTCTTTTTTAACTGATATGTAGGAGTTTTAAAAATAGTCTGTGTATACACGGTACTGAAGTTTTCTCCCATTCTGTGGCTTCTTTCTTAACTTTCTTAATGGGGTCTTTTGATATCTAGACTTTAATTTTAACTTTTCTTAATTGTAACTACTTTTAAATCCCAATATTATCTCATATGGCATTACTCATTTTCTGTTGCTTATAACAAAACACATGAAACTGGGTAATTTATAAAGTGTAGACAATTATTTTTCACAGTATGGAAGCTGAGAAGTCCAAGGTTGAGGGGCCACATTTGGTGAGGGTCTTCTTGATGGACGGGACTCTACAGAGTTCTGAGGTGGCACAGGATGTCACAGAATTAAGAAAATAGAAGAAAGACAACCCCAAATCTCAGTGGCATCACACAATAGATGATGCTATTTTTCACTCATGTAAAGTTTCATTGTGGCTGAGATAGGGGCTCCATGCAGTCATTCAGAGACCCAGGATGATGGTGGCTTTGCCACCGTCAACATGGGGCTTATAAGTCACTCTAGGTGTTAACATCTGAGTGGCAGAAATGGGAAGAAAACGTGTGGAGGATCACACAGGAGGCTTCATGGTCCAGACCCAAGTGTGTGAGCATCACTTTCACCATATGCACTGTCTGGACAGAACTCAGTCACATGACCACACCCCGGGCAAAGAGGGTTAGGAACAATGCCCAGGTATTCCTCCTGGCCCCAGAGGAAAGGGCAGTGAATTGCTGAACAATTAGCTAATCCCTGCCACTAGGGCTTGGGGAGCTAGTGAACTGACCCACAAGACTCTCAGATGGGTGAAGTGGGACTCTGTGCCTGCTTTGTTTTCTCAGGTGTCCAGAAGTCCAGCGCTGTGCTGAGAATAGCGTCGGAGCTTGGCTGAGTCAGGCATCAGCCAAGCGTGTCCTCGGCAGGGGCAGAAGCCCTCCTGGTATCCTCTCTGTGACTGGGCCACACGCCTTCTCTTGCTTTCGTCCCTATGTTCTAGGGGCTCAACTTAGATAGCAGGGACAGTGCACAGCAGACTGGAGAAGACAGGACCGTGGACCAGCTCTGTGTCTGTACTGTGGGGCCTTGGGCAGGTCACTAGATACCCCTGTGCCTCAGCTTCCCCATCTGTGGAGGGCACTAACGCTACTTCCCTCACAAGGTTGCTGGGCCCTGGGTGAGAGTTGCACAGAAAGCATTCAGAGCCATGCTGGGCATCCACCCCTGGGGCTAGCTGGGTTTTGCTTCCACGGAGTCCTCCTGGCTCCCCACTGTCCTGTGTTACAGATGAGGAAATGGAGACTCAGAGGGAAAGTTGGGTGTCTGCCTGTCCCACCACTCCACCTTTTGTTTCCATGACAGTTTCTGGTAGGGGGCAGTTCGGGAGTCGCAGGGAACATATCTTGTGGGCTGTGGGCTGTGGGCTTTGGGCTGTGGCAAGGCCCCCCAGCAACCTGTGTTTCTGACTCCCCAGCAAGGCCTGGCCTCCTCTCTCCCTGAGCACACTCACACGGCAGGCCTGAGGTGCTGGAGTCTGTCACTGGCGTGCAAAACCCGCAGAGCTTTCTCATTTCTGTTCTGGCGGAACAAAAGCCCCTGCAGCTGAGCTTAGTCAGGGGAGGCCTGAGGACGCTTCTGTGTGGAGAGATAAGGCCCAGCAGAGTGCTAAATGGAGCCCTGAAGCGTTAGACGCATTAGGGCCTGAGAATCTGGGGTGCCGTTTCCGAAATCCCAGCTCCTGAGTGTTTACCTTCTTCACAGCAGGCTCCCAGCTCTCCATGCAGCTTCTCCTGGGCTCCTCTTCCTCCCTCCCTCCTCTTGACCCAGTGAGTTTTTACTGAGCACCTACTGTGTGTCAGGCATTGTTCAAGGTCTGGGGGCACAGCAGTGAACCTCAGGAGCTGGCATGCCAGGGCCGAGGCAGACGCAGGTGGATGTAGGGTGTACAAGAACACACCAAGAGCTAAGGAGAAAAACGGAGCCCAGGAGGGACAGGGACTGTGGGGTAGAGCAGGAAGAGCAGTAGTCTAACATAAGGTGGTGGGGAAGGTAGGAAGGTGAGAAGTAAGTCTTGGGGCATCTACAGAAAAGCTGTTTCAGGCCGAGGGAACAGCAGGTGCAAAGGCCGGGGCCTGCTGTACCGGTTGTTTGAGGAACAGTGAGAAGGCCAGTGCAGCAGAAGCAGAGGGAGCAGGGCCGGGGTGGGGCAAGGAGGGCTGAGAGGTCACAGGTGGGGCTGAACAGGCCAGGCAGAGCCGAGTCGCCTGAGCATTCTGGGAAGGACAGGAGACACAGGATGGGAAATAGCTTAGCAGTGAATGGAACACATGAACACCCGGGCCATAGAGTTCACAGTCTAGAGGGGAAGGAAGAGAAGAAATGAAATGAAAAGAAAATGAGCCAGCATGGAAGAAGGCAATAAAGCAGGGAATGGGAATCAGGAGTGCCCAGGAGGAGGGGCTTCCCTGGGAAGCAGGTGGTGGGTCAGGGCCTCACTGAGCAGGAAGAGCTGAGCAGAGACGCCAGAGCTGAGCAGTGCTCTGTGGGTACTTAGGGAAGATCATTTCAGACAGAGGGAGCAGCAAGGCCAGGGCCAGGGCTGGGAGCTTGCCATTACTGCTGCTGTCTCTTGTGGTCTCGTTATCCATAAAGCAGGAATCTCTTGATAAAAATGGATGCGAAAGTCTTGAAAACTAACAAATGTTGCAAATGTTTATGAGTCACCTTCATTGGACATGGCCTCAGCCAGCTACTGC